ACAGAGGTACTTGAAGGACTGTATGTCACAATCCTGGGTCTTATGACCCAGTGTTTTGAGTTTTAGTTTATTTTGATGTTTATAGTATATGGTTAAGCTCATTAGTTTTTCTATTTCATTTGTTATTAGATTCCCCTTGTGTCTTCCAACCCCTGTTAAGTCTCCCTTGCCCTTCATGTGTTTCATGTCTGTGTCTTACGTTGTCAAGTTCAGGTTGTCATGTCTGCGTCTCATTATGTTTCCTGTTTTATTTTGAAGTGGTCCTGTGTTCCTATGTTCAATGTTTTTAGTTTTACTCTCCCCTTGTGACGTGGTTATGTTCATGTGTGTCAGCTGTTTCCCCATGTGTTTCCGTTTCCCTCATTATCCTCCTGTGTGTATTTAGTCCGTGTGTCTTCAGTCATTCCTTGTCAGGTCGTCTGTTGGTTTCCATGTCTAGGGTTTTCTTGTTGTTTATTTAGTTCTCCCTGTTTGTTTAGTTTTAGTTTTATTTCTGTTTGCCTTGCCCTTTATTTGTACCTTTTCTGCCAGCCTCATTAAACGGCTCGCTTTTTGTTAATACTCAAGTTTTGATCCAAGTTCCTTGGTGTCTGCATTTTGGGTCCACTCTTCACAATACATACAGTCTGCTTCTGCCAGACTGTAACAGAACAACCTGACCATGTTGGACCCAGCAGACATTTACTTCAGTAACTTTGTTGAATTTAAAATTCGTGTCACGCAACTTCGAGGACTCTGGGCCATTCATGTTTGAATCAGCTCACCATGGTGTGTGGGTTTTTTGTGTTGATATCCACTGAAACTGTTCATGTGACACCTCAAAAGACTGTTTTATCTGAGCCTGTATCCATGACTCCTGTCCCTGCTCCCAGGCCAGCTGAGGTTCTGCTAGTGAGCCCGTCCAGCCTTTTTCCTTGTGTTCAGGAAGCTCAGGAGAATTGGATCAGTTACCTTGTTGTCTGCCATTACTACAACCTCTACTTCAGTCATTAGCTCAGTCTCTAGCTCTGTTGTCAGCTCTGCTACCTGCTCAGTTTTCAGCTTCAGCTTTGCCGTCGCCTGGTCCAGCTTCGGCTTCGCCGTGTCCAGCTTCAGCCTGGTCCAGCAAATTGCATTAAAAAAACAAAAACCGGTTGCACAAATATTATATAGCCTAGGATTGATCTGTTTAGTATATTTATTTCACAGTTTTGACTGAATGGAAACATTTATGATTACACCAGAGTTTACGAAACTAACTTTTTGAAAACAATAGATTTTTGTAAAATGAAACCTGTCTAAAAAGAAAACAAGCCCAGAAAATGAGTAACTGTCAGATCTATCCGGAACTTTATTGTCATCTGTCATCAATCTCAGTTGTACTGCTGATAATGAACTGTGTCCAAGACAGTATCATGAGTATTCTGGGGAAAAAAGAAAATACCATTGTGGACATTTGATCCTGCAGTCTTTATTTTCATTTGATTTTTAAATGAAATGTAAAGATGGACACTCTTATTTAGCTGCTTTGGGTTTGCAGCAGTGGTAGACTGGTTTATATGCTTTTAATATTTTGATGTTCAAATTATTTTTGAACTTTGTTTTCACTGAGGATAAGGGAGAATTCGAATTCAGTCAAACCAAGAAAAATGAGCATTGTTTGGGTTTAGGAATTTTTGTGATTTTACTCAATAAAATCGTTATTTCAATTGAAAACTATCTAAATTTTTAACAACCAGCAGAAATACTGAACTTTGTTTTATTTCACACTGAAAAACATCATACATTTCAAATATAACCCTAATGCGTTTCACCTTTTATGCAAAAAATGTACACTTGACACTGACATTCTACCTGATTTTTTTTTTTTTTTGGGTTGAAACAAGGAAATTACAGCTTTATTAATTGTCAAATGCAGACAAGGAAATCAACAGTAATGGGAACTCCAAAATCTTCAAAGGAAATTGGCTCCGTAACATACTGGAAACAAATAATTTGTCCATTTTCATGAATACTTCCTCATGTTTTTGGTTACAGCAAAAAATATGAACAAAGGTCATTTCTGAATTATTTTTTGTTTAATGCAAATGCAGAAGAAAAACCAAAATACTTTCTTCGTTCTTCACAAGTACTTTAAATGCTACTTTCCTTACCTATCATAAGACTATGATCTAGTGTGTCATTTTGTAATGGGTAATAAAATGCTAGATTGACCTCCCCATAACCCCAAAAAGCAAAGCTGCATCAGTAACAGAGCACTAATCTGTCCAACTCAGTGTTGGATTGGACGCCTCACAGGTCCATTTGAGTATGAGACAAAAATGATAAGGGGCCCAGATAAGCTGAGCCAGTGTATCCACTGAGAGAACACAATAGCCCCACTTATTGGCATGGGATGCAGACATAAAATCACATCTTGCTGTCTTCATGCCCATGCTTAGGCTATCTTTTATCACTTCCCTGTTCTTCCTCTTGCATCTATCTGATTGAATTAATGCTCTCCCTTTTTAAATAATAAAATACCCTTTGCTTGGTTTATTCAAATCAGAAAATCATTTTGTAACTATAAGAGATAAAGGTATTCGTGGGGAGGTATTGCATATGCTTTTTGGCCAAACAAAGGCAGCCATTGTCTAATAAATCAGAACAAGGAGGCCACTAGATAATTCTACCCCACGTAGAGTTTGTTGTCATCTTCCTAGACAATTGTCTGGACTGTTCTTATTATAATAGCATGTCTGTAAAAAAACAAAAAACTCACAAGAATTCAAAGTGCTAAAGTGAGGCACATGGATTAAATATCTCCTCAGGTGCAAATGTATTTTTTCTTCCTTCCCAGATCTGTTACAACCGGTTTGGGTGCATGTTTGCATGAATGCTTTCGTTACCAGCACTCGATGACTTAGAATCAAGTCCTGTAAATACATGTCATGCTGGTTTAACGGTGCTCTCTTGAATTCGTCAGATATGCTGTCTTGTCATACGTGCAGCTTGCTTCTGGGAGCCATTTCGGTCACATACAGCACTATTCGTGTCACAGTATCAGAAGTATGTAAAGCTACGATTTGTGATCACTGGGCAGTGGTCTGTTAGGAAAATCATGCTCATGTTTGCAGAGGTTACGTGAGTCTAACATTTGCATAACTGCTCAATCATCTTCAGTGACTCACATCAAAGTTTTGTCTTATCACAGCTCACAGCAGTGATATAATATGCTTAATATTATTACAAAGTCAAACCAAGGCTAAATGTGAGCTGTTGATGTATTCCTGTGCTTCTGGTCATTACATTCATTAATTTCTCGATTCATCTCTTTGTAATACAGTATATCAGCGTTCATGTGCAATGAGCCTTAGTTTGCCTTAAACCACTTACTGGTATGGTATCATGGGCAAATGCAGTAATGGTTACATAATACACAATTCAATATCTGCCTTGGTGTTTGCTTGACAGTTGGACTTTTTGCCATGAGTATTCAAAGCCAACACGTTTTGTTAGTTTGAAATTTTCTTGTCACATAAACAGCACAGATTAATTTCATTATGATTTCTTTCTTCTTTAATTATATGTGTCTTATTTGTTAGAAGTAAATTTTAGGAAGTTCACAAGGGATGCTACGACACAAAGCTGCTTTTAGAAAAATTATGTTAACTGATTTTGACACTTGATTTTAGACTTTTTTTTTTAACCATAGTTGACATTTTCCATTTTTCTTTTACTATTTAAGGATCATGTACAATCTAACTTTATATACATCGAGCCTTAAATACAACTAGGTTTGATTTTGTATACATTTCAAATGTATGTATGGATCGTAACAAGATCAGCTCCAGAGAAACTATAGAGTGTGATTTGTTGATAATAGCTCTGAAAACAAACAATGGGATTTGATGAATAAACACTTCAGTTTGAATTACATTACTTCATGTAATACAACAATCGGACAATCACTAGCTATTATTTCAGTCCAATCAGGAAGATTCTGTTTGTACCACTTTACATTAATTCATTCACCCATCCTTGAAACGCCTCTACTCAGATATTTTTTTTCACCAATAAGGAGTGTTCTGTTTAGCTTTCATGCATTCCATCAGTTCTGATCACAACCTATTGACAATTATGCTTTAAGAACAGGTCATGTTTTGTCTTTCAGTGTACAACATGCAATCATTGCCTTATGATGCATATGTATGAGACAGAATAGTGACTAAACTGAAAACAATGCAGTGCGGCGCAGTGTGAAAGTGCAAAAGATAACGACTGAACGTGGTGTCAGTCATCAATATGTAAAGAAGGCTTGCATAAGCCAGATAAATCAAAGTTGAAGATTAGCAATGGATTTGCTTGCAAATGCAAGTCAAAGAAGGCAGTCTTTTACTGGCACTGCCTTTATCTTGCTGGCCATCAAGGCCCTCTCATTTGTCTGCTGCCTGCAGGAACCAGCTTGGCAGCTACAGCACACAGTGGCAAACAATTAACTGTGTGGCATTTCACACTGTCATGATAAAGCAGTAACTATCCTTAAGTGCATGGCTTTTCAGAGTCAAGCTTGTAACAGATTTAGTGGGAACAAGGCTTTCACTTGTGGATCTAAACAGCACTCTGTAGCTCATCAATATTGTTCAAGTTTGGACAAGAATAGCTGCAGTTTGCATATTAGACTGAAGCCAAATGCTAAATTATTTGCAAGTGTCTAATGCTGACTCATATAACTAAAATTCTTGAATTAAGCCTCAGGTCCTGGGGCTTTTATATTTGGAATTTGATTGTTCTCCCTGTGCTCCCGAGGTTCACTCTGGCTTCCCAAAGACATGCTCGTTTGCTGGTGATTCTAAATTGGCCGTAGGTGTGAATGCTAGTGTGATTGTCCAGAGTATCTGCTCTCGCCCAATGACAGCTGGGACCGGCTCCAGTCCCTGACACCCTGAACTGAATAAGCAGTTAAAAAAAAATGGATGGATGGATTTCAGTTTCTTAATTTACATTCAGATCTTACACATGGAATTCATGAAAATAAAGAGTTTTATAAAATAAAAACAGTTACAAGCTTTATTTGTAATATCAACAAACATTTACACACTTTCTGGACAGTTCAATGGATGTAAAGTATGAAATAGTACAAACCATATTGTCACATTGTAAATATTTCTAGTTCATCACTAGTTTATGTATTCAGTGCTGTGCTTTGGCCTTATTATTTTCTTACTATTGTTTTTTTTTTTTTTTGGTTGGTTGGTTTTTAAGCAGTGAACAATCATCCTTTTGTAAGTACATTTCACAGTATCAGTGTCAAAACACGCTACATACATTTCTTTGCCACATGTATTTTGAATGTGTTATCGATATGTGCTCTTTTGGTACTTGGAAAAAGTATCTGTTTGAAAAGAAACATCTGAAAACTCTTTAAAAAATTGGTTATTATAATTTTTTCATCTTTTTAAAGCAAGATTTTAAGTGACCATATCTGAGGTTTGACTGCTATTAAGGCACAGTAAAGAATATTTCAGTGCAGTATCACAACATAGTTATAAATTGAAATAAAAAAAAAAAAACAGGAAGAAAAACAGTTTAGACATCATCAAAAACAGTCAATGCAAACTATAATAAAGCATTAAGCACACAACACCAAATAAAACATAAATTAATGAAACCGTCACTTGTCCGACTCTCTCCACCCTCTTGCATTTCTTCCAAACTTGTAAACCAGCCTGCGGCCATCTACTCGTTCTAGGATTTCTCTTTTGTAGTAATATCTGTAAGACAGAACGGACAAATCAAGTAATTTTAGATTATGGAAAACATATGTATAAAAAAGTCTTGCATATTTCGCTTAGTTGGATTGACTGAATTAAGTAAAGTTTTACTGCTGTTTGTGTTTCACTCAATTTTCCCCCAGCCAGTTCAAAATAATCCGCAGTACTTTCTGATGACTTTTGCATTTCAACTGTCAGTTGAAATGCAAAAGATTCTTTGCGTTCTTATCTGCCATTTGCTGGAAATGCCAGGAAACTTACTGACAATTCAGGTTCTATCACATTGGACTATCTCACAGTTTACAGTTTACTTGTTCTTAACTTTCTGTTTAGAAAAAGACTGGCAACTTCATACATATACTCGCTTGTGCTACTTTAGCTTTGTGCTTGCATTTCAGACAGAGTTTAAATTCTTGCACCCCATTAATTTAAAAAAATAACTCCTACACCAGTTTGTTCACACCTATTTACGCATGTAATATTCTCCATAACCTATTTAGAATTCAGCAGTCTACAGTACTGTGTCATTCTTTCATCAAATCAACTAACAGAACAAAGAGGTACTAAAATGAAAACCTATTGTTAAGGTAAAAGTCAAAACAGGTGCAACATCAGTTACACAAAGAGATGAATTAATGCATCAAATATAAGCACAAAGTACACGTTTTCATCTTTATTCATGGTCATTCAAACAAAAGTTATTGTTTTCTGTTGCTGACAGCACCAATCTGAGAAAAACAACATCCCAATGTCTTAATCGTGATTGTGTGTTTATTGTATGCAAACATAAGGTTTATATTTTAATAAACAATGTAAGAGAGCTGTGAGGGGTTGTACCTCATTGCACGGCTTAGTTTCTCGTAAGTCATGCTGCTGTTATTTTTCTTCTTGCCCCATAATTGTGCCACTGCCTCTGACTTCAGGAAACGAAAAATACCCTCTGTCCGATCCTCCCACTTGATCAGTCCTGGGTTTCGCTCTGGATTCAGTAGAATGTCCCTGATAAACTCCCACAAATGGGTCCCCCTTGGGTCTTTGGTAAAAACAACAAAAGAGTAGATAGTGGTTGTTTAATAAACATCAAAATTACATAAAAGGCATTAGTTCAAAAAGATTTTTTCTATTACTTACTGTGTTTTTTGACTGGATGTGGACGGGTGAAAGATCGTTTGATGTCTGGGAAAGAGATTATTCATTGTGAAACATAATTTTCAGTTACACAGTTTGTTGCTCTCTATATAGTACAAATAAATCTTCACCTGGACTAGGAGCCCTGGGAGAGGCAACAGGTGCAAGGGGGTGAACCGAGGGGTCATAGATTTCTAAATAAAAAAGAAGTCAGGTCAATATTTTTTGTCTGCGATGAATAAAACTTGAATAGACAATAGCAGAAATATCACAGCAGTACCTCCAGGTGGATAGCTGACATCTGGAAATGGACAAGAGAAGTCTACTGTGAAAGAAATAGGTAGGAGGCAGGCTTAATTAGGGCAATAACACAATGAGTACAATGAACAGGAAGATGTATTCATTATAATGCTGATGTTTGTGTTTTTGTCTAACATTTTGTGTGAAGGACTCTTACATTCAGGTTTGCTTTCGATTTGCCCTATATCCACGTGGTACTGGCCTGTGCAGAGATAAAGACGGAAAAATAAATGAAATATAAGCATAAATTGCAAATTAATATTTAAGTCAGTACATTCACTATTTTCAAAATGGCTGGTATTGAGGGACTGGTCACAAAATTACTTTCTGCACTCCTCTCTCCCATTTCCCGACTGTCTCAGTAGAAATGGGAAAAGCAACAGTGAAGCACCAATACACCTTTTTTGATCATAAAAAGTAGTAACATCAGAAATGTATTCTAAATTCCAATAACCACCAATGACTTCAAACTCATATAGCAATAACACCCTGTGATCACAATCAGTGTGAGAACAATATTTGATGTATTAAAATGTGACACCTTATCTCAAGAAACTGAGCAGGTTTCTTACAGTTGGTTACAACAATAGCAGAACTGTTCTCTTGGTTCAGTTTACTTCGAAATTCTTTTTAACCTCAGGGTTAAACCTGTTGTGCAAGATCTATTGGTGCTACTCTTGAAAAGGTATTGGCTTTATTTGCTAGATAAAATATAGTCTGCTTGTGTAATTTACATAAATTTGTATTATTTTCTTTTCTTATTTAGCCACATGCTATACATACAGTTGCAACAGGTATAAGCCAAAAAATGAAGTATTAGGCCTAAGAAACAAAAAAGGCAAAGAAAAAAGAAAAACCTTTTGACTTTGTTTAAAAGCTCTAATTAAAAAACAATGGACGATCCAATTCTCAGGTTGTTTCTCAGCTTCACACCCCCTCTGTGCTTTGTTAGGAAACCCATTCTAGCAAGAGCAAACAACAAATCCATCATCTCCTTGGCTCTAAGCAATCCTTTGCCCCTCTACAGCAGCATGCTGTGCGACCCCCTGACCAGCTCTGCGATCCGTTCTCAACAACTCATCATCAAGACCTCGTTCCAGACACAACTCGGATCACCCAGCTTCTTTTTTATTGGCACTAATCATCTTCCTTTGCTGCCCCTTAAACCTCTCTCCCAGAGTTTTTAGACATACCGCTCCACTTGAGCTCTGTGATGCTGTGGAAGAGAATGGGTCCCACGCTGCCAGCTGCACGGATGAAGTCCTGGTAGCTTAGGCTGCAAAGCTGATGGCCATCGATGTCAAAGTTTTGGAATGGGATGCTGGAGGCATCAATTTGGTGCATGTCCATAATTTGCTGCAGCCATTCCCACACTTGGTACTTACTCCAGAACTGAGGCTGGGACTCATGAGGCCACAGACGGCTCGTGTAACCAGCCATCACCAATGAACCTGCAGGCACAGACATAATTGCTCTTTTTTTAGACTTAACAGTGACTTCATTTAGTTTCATTGTAAAGGTGTATCTGATGAGGGAAGCGTGACTCCCACAAGCAAAGGTATTTGTCAACAATTAAATAGCAAATTCATTTACTGTAAAACTATTTCTCAGCTGGGTATGTCTAATTCATGCCTTGTGTTTCAGAGCTCTGGGCTCTCCAGGTGAACAATACATTAGCTGCTAATTGTTGAATTATTTACATTTTGAATTGCAGCTTTGTAACTATTGAGTGAACTGGAGTCTTCAGAATATAAGAGTAGGAATAAAAATACAGTAGGCCTCATTCTGATTGTGTCAGTGTGCGCAATAATCCTCACCATCGGGATAGGGGTTAGCAGGGCCCCAGGCACTGGTCACCTGGCTGTCGAGGGTTGTGGATGTAGTTACACTCATACTGCTACTTCTATGCTCAGATGTACCATGGCCCAGGGGCTCAGGCAGGAGGGTAGTACTTTACTGTATAGACAGAGTCAAAAATAATCTGTCACTCATGTATGCACACATACTCGCATAGATAAAGGTAAAGAAAATTGAGCTTTTGACCTCGATGATGACATTCCATATTAAAAGATTATGTATACATCTCATGCATGACTGAATCTACTTTATTTAAGCACAACAGATTCACAGGATGTCAGCACAGATGCTGTCCTCTTTACATTGCATCAAAGCTAAAGTAACGTGCTAATAATGCAGACTGCAAATGCTGCAGCTGCTGCTTCACATATCTGATGTAGCAGTATTCAGTGTATTCGAGCTAATTGCCATCTGGAAAGTAGCTGCTCTGGAAATGTTTTCCCTTATTTTTACATTCTTCTTGCTGTTATTGTGGTAACCACAGGTGTCAGAATTTCAGCAAAAAAATCAAACACAGGTCTGATTGTTTGTTACCATCAAAGTGTGGTCACAAACTTATTCCGTGTCAGCACAGGTGGCAGGTTGGGCATGTTGTGTACTCGTTATGAAGAAAGGGTCTGTTGGGTTTTGTATTTTAATTAAGGTCTATCCTATTTGTTTTTACCCAGCTTAAAACATGAATTTTATTTGTTCTTCAGTGGTGTAATCATATTTTTGGTTTGCTTGTAGCATCTTCCTTGAAGAAGTAAAGTAGCAGAAGACTAACAGAAAGGTACACTCCGCTTAATCATTAGATGCACTTAAAGTACAGCAGCTTATGTCGCCATTGAGTTGATGTTTATTAGCGTAATATCGACTCACTGAGGATTCGTTATTCACAGGTGCAGTTACTTTTGAAGGGTGAGCTGTTCACATATAAAAAATAAATAAAGACATGTTTCAAATGTAACCACAAGTATATTTGCATTCCATGTAAATAAAGTCAGTGTGAATTTCAGCACCTCCACTGTTTTGGTAGCACAAGTGTTGCATGTGCACAATAGCTTAGTCATATCTTCGATGGTCCAATGCCAGCATCTGGTTTTCTGTTACTGTTGCACTGAAATTCCCCTTGAATGCTCAGAACATAAGGCAGACATAGAAATCCAAACGTCCAGCTAATACTGCTGTTGTTAAAAGAAATAAAGTGTTGTCTGTATATGTAAAGTTTTGGGACGATCATTTATTATTTTTCTTAAAATCTTCTTTAAATCTGTATCTGCCCAAAATGACAAGAAGAGCTGCTTAGGTGTGAGTGCTGTTATTCTAAATTTTTCTGACTTACTACATGATAATGAAACTATGAAAGGCTAGCAGATGAGATACCCGTTTTAAATGGCTACACATTAAACAGTGTAATACACAGTACTCTCACTGTTCCATAGAAAAACTTGGCTGCAGTTTTATGGTAGGTTATAAACAAAATAGCTCCAAGCCATGTCACACATTTCTTCAGTAAACACTGAGTCGCCAGGATAACACATCTGCATACAGTTAGAGAAATTTATCACTTTAAAGACCTAGCAAAACAGTTTTATAGCAAACAAAAGCCAAGATTTATGAATTCGATTTCTACAGAAGATAAGGTATACATTCGTCAAATCAAAGCAGAACATCTCATCAGCTGCCAATCAGCCCAAATCTCTTATGTGTTTATCTTCAATCTATGAGTACTACGAGTGCCAAGCACGTATCTTAACAAGAGAGTAGTTTCTGCAACAGAAAGTTGTTTCTGTCAATACAACGCGCACGCAGCAATTCAAGTCACAGTCATGAATCAATATGCTGTCGGCCAAGTCACAGAGAAAAATCATTGCACTGAATATATCATGATGCAAGGACACAAGCAACAGTTGAAGAATAAGTTAACATGAACATTTTGTCTGCTCTTGACAAACTGGCTGCTTTCCCTTTAAGTCAGAGCCAAAGCCTTGTGGTAGCACTGAAACATAACTGAAAGTAACTTGGTGGACTTTTAAAAATCTTATTTGTCTTTATTCTTAATTTTGCATTTAATTTTTATTTAAGTTTGGATTTTATTGCATACAATTGATTTGTAAAGATTTTTCAGATTTTCAAAGTAAATGTGAACAAATATAGTTAAGTTTAGGCTTTCTGCACAGTTTTAAATGCTAACTTCAAAGAGGAGCCTCTTAAAGTTTAAGTTTTGTGAATTACACAATACAGCTTTCAGTGTCTTTAAAATTGACGATGTCCTGTATGACTGAAACAAATAATATAGCCAATGCATAGCTAAAAATTACAGTAACAAGAGACAAACTGTGAAATGAAAATACCACATGTACAGCCAACCTGACTAAAACAAGGTAAAACATCAGCATATTAAAGCATATTGAGAATTCTTATTAGGATTTTGTACACTTAGTACACTTTGAGCCTTCGGGTTAATTATACTGCAACCAGTCATTAGTGCTGATTATCCAGAACCAGTGTGACAGCCTACCAGAGCAGTAGAATGGAGTCTGACCAGACCTGTTAGAGGTCTCGCGAAGATCCGCTTTCAGCAGTCTCCTGAGATTCCGACACCGTAGTTTACTAGAGTGTAAAGTCAGATAAGGTGAGTCCTTTTGCTAACGAAAGCTTAGAATTAACAGAAGCATGTAGAAACTGCAGGTGCTGCCCCACCACAATGGGTTTTTTATCCTGTTAACTTCCTTATCCCACTCCAATTGGCTACCTGTTCATGCTCATACCAGATAGGTATTTGCATAATGCACACCCACACACAGAAACATAAAACAGATCCACACACACACCTGACAAAACTTTTTATTATCTCTGTTGGCAGCATTTCCTCTCACGGAGTCAAGCACACAAACGCAAGCTCACTCACGCAGTTAAGCTTACACTTATGAGGAAACATATACACAGATACACATACAATAGACCACAAAGTTTAAATCCTCAAAGTTCATGTGGTTTCTTAAAATAGTGTTTAACCTTAGAGAAACTTCCCTCTGTGCTATTATGCAGGAAAACAGTTGCTTGCTTTATTTCATCATGATGAACGAGGTGCTGACAGTTTGGTAGGAGGGCCTGAGAGAATGTGTTCCTTTTACTCTTTTAAAGTTGCTGGAACTGACAAAGAAACATTAGTAACTGTGTGCCTGAAAAGACTGTAATAAAATGGGGTTATGGGGGTTAGACGTTTATAAATGTCTATAATTTTACACTGTGGCCTCTTTCACCTTTGAATTTGCATATTAAATTTGTCTCTGAGTGATGATCACTATTAGGGTGAGCTTGTTTCAGACTGACTCAGAGCAATGCGGGGCTTCACCATGTTGCAATCACATCCAACTTTGATCGTCTAGTAAACATACTAGCTAACAACATGCAGGGATCCACAGGTGTCTGAGTAAAGAGTGACAAATGCCAATTAGTTCCGGTATGTGTCCCAAAAATTCCAGTCAGTATCACAGCACTGTGACAACAGTGAGCCTCTTTAATTTATGTGAATTATTTGCCAGTATGCTCCCGGCAGGTATTATGTATTTCCCTGTTGCAACATTTACAAAATTTCCTTTTAAAAAATGTGTCAAACAAGACTTAACTAAAAATGTGAAATACTGTTAGATGGAAAGCGTAAAATCTTGTGTCTAATTGAATGAGCCCTTGTACACTAGGAGAATGTATGGCAGTGGATCTGTTTGGTGTTTTCAAATTCCTCAAAACATGTTTGTCCTGTTTAGCTATTTTTTCCACTTGACATCAAACATGAGCAGAGCAGGTATTTCCAAAAAGACAACTGTACTGTTCAAACAGCATACGTGCACAAGTTAGTGTGTCAAAAAAAACAAAAGCAACAAAAACCATTTTTACTGAACGTTGTCACCATTTATATCTGCTGTTGGCCCATACTGACAAAGATCAGAGGAAGTTCAAAAAGTCTATTTTTACTTGACGCCAATTAGAGTTTGGGCAAATTGTAACATCTTTGATCTGAGAACTAAATCGGATCTATAGCATTGTACTGTTACGATACCTCTTGGGACCAGAGGCACTCACAGTATCATGCTGATAATTGAAGTGACTTTGAGCAGGGTTGAACTGTATAATAGGCTGAAGCAGAGAGAAGTGAAAGCCAGGGATGTCAGGGATTTCTCAGAGCTTCTTCAGCAGAGTCATGTGGAGGGAAACAATAGGTGACGCTGAACAAATTAATTTGCTTTTACGTAACATTGATCTATTGAGCATGTAATCATATAAAATCCCTTCAGAGTCTTAATATTCAATATTTTCAAGAATAAAACATGCATTGCACTATTACACCGAACATTGTGTTATCCCAACAGGCTGACTTTAATAGCCTAATTTCCTAGATCCTTATGATCAACATACTGCCTGTGTTCATACTATGCTCACTCTGGGAGCTCTCGCTCTCTGAGCGCGTGCAGTATGCGTATTTTTGTGTGACTTGGACTCTTGCCCATGGCTGAGCTTCAGAGGTAATGAGGGAATTCAGTGTAAGCATGATTATCTCTGAGAGTTCCCCTCATCTGCATGCCAGATCGCTACAGTCCTAATGGCAAAAATCACCACTCCTGATCTCCCCGCAGCCCTCCGACACCACCCTAGCTGCATGGGTTACAGATAACTTGCCTCCAGCCCTCCCGGCAGCCCGTCTACCGCCTACTTGTAACACAGGTGCTATTTTCTGGATTTTTTGCAGAACTTTCCTATCCTCTTTTTAAAGGGTAACATGCCTCCAGGGTGCAATTTGGGGCCTTAGCTGCATTTGGTGTCCTCCCGTTGTGAATGCCTGACCAGATTTTATTGCAGTAAGATTAATATGGCCATCAGCAGTGAACAGAAGTCACACACTTCTCATTACAGTCCGCTGTTTAGGCTGCCTCGCACTGCCTTCTTTTTTGTTCTCTCTCCATCAGGCTTTTCATTTGCCGTGTCACAAGGAGAGCCTAGTATTTGTCATCTCATTTCATGGATCTTCATTCTGCTTTTTCAGGGTGGTTGCGGGTCGACATGTGTAAAAGTCCACTGGGGGAACAGAAAAAAGCTGGAGAAACAGAGGGGGAGAGATCAAAGCCTGTCATCTCTGCTCCACTCTGTGTGAGTCAGCCCACCAACATTGCAAGACGCAGCGAAGACATCCTCCCAGACTCAAGAAAATGTCATCAAAATGCGGGCATTATAGACAGTGTCATCTATTTTTAAGTAGAGTCAAGTAGAGGCTTATGTCATCCTCCAATAATAGTACACTACTGATCCATTTATAAAGAGGCTTATAACTTGCTTAGTGCTGCTGTGAATTATTAACGTTTTATCTGAGCATGCGGTCAAAAGTTTCCCTTTGACAGGAAAGGCTGTCAGAACTGTCAGTCAGAAGAAACAGACAAGACAGGAGGAGGGTACAGTTGCATGCTCTAATGAACAGGAACTTATTAGCTGGAGTATGTCTATTACTGTCCCACTTGCCTCCCATCTTTCATTAACTGCTTATCACGCCTGTTAGTGTCATCTTTAATACTTCACATTTTGATTAGCATATGTTCCATGGGGAAAGAAGGAAAAATCATTTTATTAGTGTCAATTATTGCTACAAATGACAATTTCACTGCCTAAATTATAATTTTACATTTCGTCCCTGTCAAAGAACAATGGCTGTGTAATTACAGTAATGAGAAGTGCAACAGAAAAATTAATTATTCAGAATCAGTTTTCTTTCATGTTCTTTTGAACTCCACCGTGTCTGTTTGTTTGACATCTGCCCGGCCTCATTAATGTCAGTGCGCTGAGAACACAGGTTCTGTCCATCTTGCAGGTAATATATACGAGGAGCAAGAGTGAGTATATGTTAAAAAACACACAAACCCCCCACTTTTTCACCCATTCACTGTCCAGGAGCAAAACTGCACTTGACTTGATAGGGTGCAGATCTATTATTAGCCCATAGGTGACACTGTTGTCCCATGTAGTGCCAGAGAGCTCTGAAATCATGCTTATTGAATGAGTGATGAATATAAATGTGATATGAGAAAGTGTAGGTGGAACATGCTTCCTAACAATTACTGACTACAGTGTCTACAGAGGGAGGTAGAATAACCTACATAAATTATTAGCTTTGTTACATATATGAGGAACAAAGAGAAGAAAGACCATGCAGGGAGGGCAGTGAAGACTTAAAACGGTGCACGGCCAGCTTCCTTTAACATAACATTTTTTCTTTCAATAAATGGATCTCTGGGTTCATCTATCAGAACCGTCCTTTTTGGGCATCATTGTCTGCTTTTCTGACCAGAGGTGCAACACATCAGTGAAGCAGCCTGTCATTTAAAATGGGACGATGAAAGCTGCAAAATGATCATGTAGACTCCAGCATTTAACCAGCAGGACTGCAGTACAGCATGATCACTATTATAAGTTTAAAATGATTTAAATTGGCACAAGTTTTATAGCTGATCTTCTTAGTCTTTAATAATGTATTCAACTGAAAAGAGCTGTGCACAGGGACAAAACTAATGATTATTGTTACCAGACTCTGCATTTCCCCTGAGCTGTATCAAAATAAGCATTTTGTTTTTACACTTTCCTACTTAAAAGGTTCCTTCTGCTAGGCTTCATCTGTGTCATTTCAAAATGCAGTTTTCCAAAAAAGAAACCAGAAGAAAAAACCATTGCACAACCTACTGCATGCTCTGCCTCAAAAGGCACACAACCAAGAGATGCAAAACGCTGGAGCAAACAAAGCTCCATTTAGCAGCTAAAGAGCTAAATATTCCTGTCAGGAACTGGTAGAAAGCAAAATGTAACATACAGGACAGTGGATATGGGACCATTTATTAGGTGGTTGGAAATATGACACAGAATGAATGTTCATGTATTGTTCATGTTGATTTCCTGAATATGTACAACACAATAGGCTAAGTAACCTTTAACTAAACAGTGACATAATCTATACAACTGTATTGCACCACATCTAAAAATTGCTGTTAGGTTAAGATCTGGAAGCCATTTGAGAACAAAAAACTCATTTTCATGTTCAAGGAACCAGTTTGAGATGATTTGAGCTTTGTGAAAGGTCATGCTGCTGAAAGCAACCATCATAAGATGGCTGGACTGTAGTCATTAAGGGGTGGATGTGGTCGGGAACAATACTCAGCTACGCATTACAAGTTAAGTGGGCTAAAACACCACGATAAAGAAAGTGTCTGAAAGAGGTTCCCTTCACTCCTTCTGAATAGATGACAAATATACATATGTTCAATTCTTATCACCAACATGTGTAACTAATGATTTTCTGGGGATAATGATAAAGTCGGTGAGTGAAGAGGTTCAGAGACAAACTGGCTGGTTCAGCAACAAAAGACAACAGCCACTAGTTGCTGTGATGGATAAGGTGGAAAGAAAACATCCAGTCTGCTTTCCACATGCATTCTTCAAACTGAAGTTCAGGCAAAACAACACAGCTGTACATGACATGACAACATAGCCTCAGTTTCGGCCTTAACTATTTCTTTAGGACTATGTACGGGAGCTTGCTGAGTGCCGTCCAAATACCCGAGACAACCATAAAGGCTAAATATGAGCCATACACAGTAGCTGACAGTCATGTGAAAAACAAAATGTTCAGTGTCTTGTGAAAAACTAAATACACCCCATGATTGAGTAG